GCCTTTAACAAGGCAGGACTAAATTGGACAAATTAAACTGGACAAATGTAAAAAAAATTGCATAAGCAAATTTTAAAATTTTGATTTTTATTGTTTTTAAATCACTTTAATTTCCCAATATATCTCTTCTACTTCCCTCCCAGACTTTCAGTCCTCAAAACAAAGAACAAAAAAGGAGACAGAAAAAGTTCGGTAAAACTAATCAACAACATGGCAATCACATTTGATATCATATGCAGCGTTCCACACCCACAGGGGCTCCCCTTCCCACCTTTGTACAGAACAGAGGTGAATTCTCACTTCTAAGCAGATTTCATTGTGAATTTATGCAGTATTCAAATATAGGACTTGTTTGCCAAAAAAATTGAAGCATTGATACAAGAAAAGCCTAATTCTATAGCAGAAACTATCCTGCTCCCTTTTTAATAGATTTTACTGATCTTTTGTGTATATCCCTATGATTTCCTCCTTTGTCTCTTCCTTCTTCCTCCCAGAGAACCATATTTTATGACAAAGAATTTTTTTTAAAGTGGAAAAGAAAAATGATTACACAAAACCAATCCACACAACAAAAAAACTCATGGTATATACAATGTTCCGTATCCATAGACCTCCCTTCCTTACCTCTGCAAAGGATGATCTAGAGGTGTCTTTTTATGTTTCTTCTTTGGATCCAAGTTTATTTTTTATTGTTCTTTTATTTATTCTTTTATTTATTAAATTTAATTATTCTAATGCTTTATTATTTCATAATATTCAACTTGGATAATTTTGTGGGTTTTCTTTCTGTTTACATTATTGTAGTCATTGTGAATGTCATTTTCCTGCTTCTGCTTTCTCACTTCGTATCTGTTCATATATCTTTCTATGCTTCTCTACATTCATTACGCTCATTGTTTTCTTACAGCATAGCAACATGCTTCTATAAGTATGTTGGTGTATACAGAAGGCTTTGTTTTTGTCAGTGATCTCCTTAGGGTACATGCTTAGTAGTTGAATCAAAGGGTCAAAGGCAACAGACATTTTAGTTTTTATTTAATTCCAAATTGCTTTCCCAAATGGTCCACCTGCTTTTGTGTGTTTGTCTTTCCACAGCCTCACCAACACTTACTCTTCCTATCCTTTGCTTCTCTTTGCTCAGTTGCTGGATATGAGGCAAAACCTCAGGGGTGTATTGACTTGCATTACTCTTATTAGTGATTTGGAACATTCTTTCATATATTTGTTTGTAGTTTATAATTTTTCTTTTGATCATTGCTTATTTATATCCTTTGACTTGTTATCTATTGGGGAAAGCCCTCCCCACCTCCTTTTGATAATGCCAAACACACCTAGATCATTGGGTACAAAAAGACCACAAGTGACACCCATGTGATTTTATGATGGCTTCATTTAATTTTAAATTTAGGAATTGTTGACAAAAAGAATTGAATTTAATAGCAATGTCAATGGTCTTCATGGGATCATGGTTTCAAGTTAGAAGGGGCTTTAAAGGCTATTGAGGTCAAGCCACTTAGTTTCTTTGACTTTTAATTCTTTTTGTTTAATTTTTTTCAATGTATGAATATATTTATTTCTTTTCCTTCTACTCCCTCCCATTTGAACAATTGAAAAAAAAAGAAATAGAAAACTCTCATAACAAATATAGTCTAAAGAAACAGATTCCCACATTGGGGGAATGTATGTCTCGTTATGTACAAAAATGTATGTCTCATTATGTGTTTTAAGTCCATCATCTCTCCAGCAGGAGGTGGGTAGCATGTCCTTTGGAACTGTTTCAACTCCTTTGTTTTAATGCATGAGTAAATTGAAGCACATGGGCAGCCAGGTGGTGCAGTAGATAGGTTGCTGGGCCTGGAGTCAGGAAGACATCTTCCTGAGTTCAAATCTAGCCTCATGTACTTACTAGCTGTGTGACCTTGAGCAAGTCACTTAACCTTGTTTGCCTCAGTTTCCTCACCTGTTTCTTTGCCCAGGAAACCCCAAATGGGGTCATGAAGAGTAGGACATGACTGAAACGACCAAACAACAAACTGAGGCACAGTGTAGTTACATGACAATGATCTCCTGGTTCTGCTTACTTCACTTTGCATCAGTTCATCTAAATCTTCTCAGGTTTTTCTGAAACCATCCCGCTCATTTTTTTCCCTTTTTTTTAGGCAATTGGGGTTAAGTGACTTGCCCAGGGTCGCACAGCTAGTAAATGTCAAGTGTTTGGTCTGAGTCTGGATTTGAACTCAGGGCCGGTGCTCTGTCCACTGCGTCACCTAACTGCCCCCTGCTCATCATTTCTTATAACACAATAGTATTCCATCACAACTATATACCACAACTTGTTCAGCCATTCCCTAACTGATGGGCATCCCTTCAATTTCCAATTCTTTGCCCCCACAACTGCTATAAATATTTTTGTACATATAGGTACTTTTCCTTGTTGAAACAATATTTATAAAGCACTTTGTAAACCTTAGAGTGTTAATTAGATGCTAGTTATTTTTAGTAAGTTCCTCTTCCCTGAAGGGCTTTTAGCTTTGTCAGTTACACCATAGAGGAGATTTCAATTCAGGTACTGATTAGACTAGGTGACCTCTGAGTTCTAGTTCAACTATGAAATTCTGTGATTCTGAGCCTGCTATCACTTCCTCATTGAGAAGATACCATTACAACACAACCTTGGCATTTCAGAGAACTACTCTAAATGTGCAGTTCATGGCAGAGAGAAAGGTTAAGTAACAGGCTGAACGATTGAGCAATAATTCAAAACCTGGAAGTACTGTTTTGGCTATTTAAAAAGTATGCCCATTTCCAATGGCAAACTGATGAAAAACATACCACCACTTCCCACCCCAGCAAATGATCAGTATCTGTGACAAGCCAAAGAAAACCAGAAGGGAGCAAAATGCTTGAAAGAATCCACTTATGGGGCAGCTAGGTGGCACAGTGGATAGAGCACCTGCCGTGGATTCAGGAGGACCCGAGTTCGAATGTGACCTCAGACACATAACACTTACTAGCTGTGTGATCCTGGGCAAGTCACTTAACCCCATTGCCTAGCCAAAAAAAAAAAAAGAAAGAAAGAAAAGAAAAGAAAAAGAAAGAAAGAATTCACTTAGGCTTAGGAAAAGAAGGGGAATCTCAGAGTTGAGAAACCTGCCTCATGTCTCAAGACCCATGATTCATACCTGGAGGATATTAGCCTAGCTGTCCTGATAAGGTGTAGAGCTGGGATGGTAGGGCAGATCTATTTGCCAGATACTAGTAGGAAAAAGTAATTTTTCCCTTTCCCAGGGGAGTCCTACTGTTCTGAGAGCATGAATTGATAGAGTAGGAACCCTTCAAGTGGCTTGACATGCCTAGACACTAAGCAAACAACAAAAGTAGGAAAGACCTCATTCATCGGAACTGACTCCATGTCACAGAAAAAAAAGAAGTGTGTTTGACCTAGGTGTTGATGGAAGGAAGAGCTAGATGCATCAACCTTCCGCAGGACACAGTAAACGGCTAACTAGAATCCTCCCTTTCTCCATGGAAATTTTAAAAACAGCCCTCAGACAGATGCTAGCGTGGATGTTCCTCATCTCCTGTACAATCTCTATATCCTTAGTTCAGTTGGGGAAAAACTGAAGCATTTTTAAGTCAGACATTTGAAGCATGTGAAGTCAGACAGAGATCTGTAGTTGATAGTATCCCTCCCCACCCCCCAAATCTGACGGCAACTCGGTCTTCTCATGTATTCCCCAGGGTGCCCAGGTCATAGAAGATGTTCAATAAATATTTGATTGATTAAAATGAGCCGAGGAAGCCCCGGTGTTTGGGTCTCCTTTTCTCCATCTGTGCAGGTCTCAGGTTACCAGAGGCCTCTCCAGTCTTTTGGGCTCTGCTGCCTTTCTGTTCCCTGCCTGAGGCACAATGGGGCACATTTTTCTCCAGTGGTCCCCTGTCTGGAAGGGAACCCAGCATGGGAAGGAGCACAGGGCCTCGGGAGCCCCTTCCCTCACTATGGAGCATCTTAAGCAGCCTAGACTCCACCTCTTCTGAAGAATGTTTGCCAGAGCCCCAGGACAGTTCGGACCACCTGCAAGGGAGTGGAGAGAGGGAAGGGAAGGGGCAAAGGTTTACTGAATCCCTTTCCTGCCGCATCTTCAAGAAACCCATTGGCCCCAAACCCTGACCCTCTCCTCAATAAATAAGGCCTTGGCTTCTACAACTAAACAATCTTCGCTTCTACCCCTAAGTCCCCCTCAGACCGAGACCCCCCAAACCATTCAGACGTGCCTCCCAGGTTTCACTGAGCCCCGCCCCCTCCCCTCCATCCTCCGGATCCTTGTCTCCAGTCACGTCCTAGCGTCCTTGAGCCTTCCCACACGCAGTGGGCGCGAGTGGTACCCCACTGCACTGGTCTTGCTTTGCCACCCGCTCAGTGCTGGGACCGCCTCCCTCCCACGTACCCCACCCCCACCGTGCACGCGCCCTCCTAAGCTGCCAGGGAGTGCTGCGGGCCCCGCCCATCTCCCCAGGTCTCACCCAGCCCCGCCCCCCGCGGCCTTTGGCCAGACCCTGTCCCCAGTCGGCGCGCGCAGTAGAACCTTTCCCACGCTGCGCAGCGCGAGGCGCCCCCCTGACCGGACCCTGCCCCGCCTCCAGCGCCCAGCCCCCCACAGCGTCCTCGGGCCCTACAATCGCCGCAGCGGCCGCCGCTGCGCAGGTCAGCCCGGGAGGGGGCTTCGGGCGGACGGCTGAGCGCCTCGCGTCGGCTCGCCGAGCCCCCGAGGGGCGGGTCCCCGCGCCCCCCCACCCCCGCCTCCGCCTCACCGGAGGGGCCGGGCCGCTTACGTCAGGGACCTGAAACCAAAAAGAAAAAAAAAAGCCAGACGGCAGCGGAAGGGGAAAAAACTTTTTCTCTTTTTTCTCCTCGGGCCTGAAGTGTGGAGAGGGAGCAGAGGCGGCCGCAGGCTCAGCGCGGAGGAAGCCGGGGCCTCCGGGTCGCCCCACCGCCGCGGCCCAGGCCCAGGCTAGGGCTCGGGCACGGGCTCCGGCCGCCGCGCGCCCCCCGCCCCCCGCCCCCGGGGCCAGCATGTGGGAGCCTGCGGACTTCGAGCGCCACTGGAGGGCTGAGTTCCCCGGGGAGCCGGTGCCCTCTATGCAGCTGGACTCGGTGCCAGCCATGCAGCAGGAGCTGGAGCGCTGCAAGCTCAACCTGAAGCGGCTGCAACAGGTGCTGGCCGAGGAGAAGTTCAAAGTCATCTACCTGCAGACGGCCCTGGCCCGGGAGAAGCGGGGCTACGACTGCGGCCGCTGGGGGGGCTGCGGCGGCGGGGACGACGGCGGCAGCGGCGGCGGCGGCGGCGGCTCCGGCTTCGGCCCCGGCCCCAGTCTCGGCCCCGCCGAGAAGGAAGAGAAGGAGGCGCCGGCCACAGACCGGCCGGAGCAGCCGCAGCCCCAGCCCCAGCCGGAGTCCACCGCGGTGGACAGCGGCCCAGGCGGTCCCAGCGCAGCCACCCCGGCCAAGTCTCCCCACTATGTCAACCTGGAGTTTCCTGCGTGGCTGGGGGCGCCCGGGGAAGGGGGCGCCGTGCGGAGCTTGACCGCGGCCATCCACCAGCATCTGTTCCTGAGGCCCCAGGAGGAGCCCGAGCCCGAGCCCGAGCCTAAGCCGGAGCACGAGCCGGAGCGCGCCCCCGGGGATGCCCAGAGGCAGGAGGAGCCCGCGCAGCCGTCCCCGGACTCGGCCGCCGCGGCCCCCAGCACCAGCCCGGAGGAAGTCGAGGAGCTGTCCCCAGCGGCGCTCGAGGACCCGGAGCCCGAGGCCCAGGGTACTGCCGACGAGGGCGGGGACAGCAGCGACCACGACTTCGAGGTGGTGGATCTGAACGAGAAATTCGTCCTGGGGCACCTGCTCCTGGCACCCTGCCGCTTCCTGCCCCGCGAGGACGCGCTTGAGAAGCCCCCCCGGGCGGGCAGCCCCCACCGTTGGCTGCACCTGATAGGGGGCAAACGGCACCGGCGCAGCCGGGACCTGGACCAGCTGGAGGCGGAGGGCAAGGACGGGCGGTGCTCGCCCTTACCCCCGGAGGAACCCCACTCCCGAGGGGCTCGGGAGCATCTCCCGCCCTGGAGGCGCAAGAGATTCTTGGGGGTGCCAGGCCGAGACTCACCGGGCCATAGCTCCCCGGAGAGGTGCAGCGACTGCAGCTACAACAGCTCGGACCACGAGGATGTCTCCTCCGCAGGTAGGCTCGTTGCTCGCTCACCAGCCCCCTTCCTTCCGCCCTCTCGGCTTCGCCCTCCTCTAGACACCGATTACCTCTGTCTTTTAGCTTTCATCTACCTCAGGCCAGGACTTTTAACCTCTTGTGTTACAGAAAAAAGTCACTTCCCTCCTGTTTTACCTCCTAAGGCCAAGCATGTGGTGAGCTTAAAAAGAGTTCCAACTAACATAGCTGGGATGAGTTTATGGAGCTCCGTGGGACCTGTACAGATGTGGCTTAAGGATGCTGCTGGGGCCTGATGCCTACGCCTCTCCGGGGCTCTGTTTGGTTCGGTCTACGGGGATCTCTCCTGATCGCTGCTGCCACCTGTCAAAGCGCTCAGGGCTTCTTATCTGGGCAATTGCCGCAGTCTGGGACCTCATCACTCTTTTGCTGTCGAGTACAACTCTTATCATCAGATTAATCGGCCTCGTTATGCCACTCATCCTTATCTATCCAGCCACGGCTTAGACCCCTCTTGGCTTCCCGTTGTTTAGATAACAAGGTCCAACTCCTCCGGGTAGTTGGGTAGTCAGTCGTTCAAGGCCCTCCTCTATCCAACCTCACTAGGGCTTTTCCAGCCTATAAAGCATCACACCCCTTTAGATTCCCTATGTGCTATCCAGACTGGACTACTGGTGTTGCCAGTCCCTTCCTTGGACTACTTTTTCTCCTTCCCCTTTCAGCCTCAGGAAATTCTGTTCATCCTTCAGGCTCAAATGCCATCTCCTCCAGGAAGCTCTCCTAGATTTCACCAGCTGGAATTGAGGTCTCCCTGCTCTCTCACAGTATTCCGTCCCTTTCTTAGGACACTTAAAGCTGTGCTAGCTAGTTCACTGGGAACACATCTCATCTCCCTCCAAATACTCCAATACTCCAAATACAATCTCAAGGGCAGGGTCTTGTCCCTCTTTGTAGCTCCTGTGCCAAACAGGGTGCTAGACACATGTTCTAAATTATATTTGTTGAATAGGTAGATGCATGAAAGGGGAGACGTTATGTGACTTGTGGACTTTGCTGTCAATATTTGCTTAGTGTTTGACTGTGACACAGTTAACAAAAGCAGAGCTGAGGTTCCTACCCCGGCTCTATAACCCCAAATCCAGTCTTCTTTTCACTGCATCCCATCAGTTATCCACAGAGAAGGGATGATTTGGCTTGGAGATGGAATCGCATTGTGACTGAGGGCATGGGCTTCCTGGAGCCTGCTTCTCTTCCTTCGTACTGAGGGGAAAGAACATTACCCATGCTGGGATGGTTCCAGAATCTCCATTATTAGATTTTATCTGGGTGAATCTGTATTTGAATGAAAAACTGTCCACTTTGCTAAAAGCACTTTTAGGGAGCCCATCAATTCATATGTTTTGATCAATTACCCTTATTCATTAGCAGAGAATGGGCAGCACTTCCCATAGGTAACATTTCTTCAGCTCAGACTAGGAACAATTTTATATGCCACTTTAGCTTAAAGGATGCAGGACACTGCCAAGGTACTGCCAAGTACCAAAGGGTCTCCAGTACTTCTTCCAGCAAACTGTATGCTGTTGGCTCAGTGTAAGAGCCTGCTCCAAACTCGTCTCCTCCAGGAAACTCCTAATGAGTAACGGTCCACACTTCTAGAACCCTGCAAGGGTGCTGAGTGCTTTCCTCATACCAATCCTGGATGATGCAGGACATATGGGACCCCATTCTACAGATGAGGAGGGGGAGGGCCTCTCCCAGGGCCACACGCCTAGTAAGTGTCAGAGCCAAGAATCTTCAGGTTTAATGGTATTTCCACGGGACCCCGTGCCTGCCCCTCTCTCTCTCTCTCTCCCTCTCTCTCCCTCTCCCCCCCCCCTCAATGTCCCCAGACCTGTGATTAGTCTGTCAGTATTGTGGAGCAGGGACTGAAGAGAGGCCAAGCCTAGAAGCTGCTTTTGCCATTAGGAAGCTATTGTAATAGTCCTCTTTTTTTTTTTTAAAGGCAGTCAGGGTTAAGTCACTTACCCAGAGACTCAGCTAGTAAGTGTCTGAGGTCAGATTTGAACTCGGGTCCTCCTGACTCCAGACCCAGTTCTCTGTCCACTGTGCCACCTAGCTGCCCTGCTATTGCAATATTCCAATCCATTCTCTACTCACCCACCAAATCATTTTCCTAAAGCATAGGTCCGTAGCCTTCCCTTTCCCCTCAAACTCCCCAGTAAATATTAGTGACTCCTTCTTACCTCCGGAAGCAAATATGAAGTGCTCTTTTGGTATTGAAAGTGCCCTGTAAGTTGATTGCTTCCTATCTTCCAGGTTTCTCACTCTTCCTTTCATGATTTCAGTGGTCCTCCATGCTGCTTCTTCCTCAGGCTGCCCCATCTCCCATCTTCTTGACCCTGCTTCTCCACTGGCTGCCCTTCAGGCCTCCAGTGCTCTCCCATCTCCCCTCCCCCCTCTTAGTTTACCTGGCTTCCTTTAAGATTCAGCCCACATTTACCTGTTATAGGCTTTTCCCAGACCCTCTACCATCTCCTCTGAGATTACCTTCTACCTCATCTGTCTATATCTTCTATGTACATAATTATTTCCTTATTGTATAGACTCCTAGAGTGGAAGCTGCTTGAGGTCAGGGACTGTTTTTGCCCTCCTATCTCCATTGCGTAGCACAATATCTGGCACATAGTAAGCATTTCACAAGTGCTTTTTGATCCACCTGGTCCCGATACCTCCATCTCTACTCACCTCTTTAGTATTCTTTGGATGCTGTAGCTTGGCCTACTACATTTAGTGTGGCCTTGTTCATGTCATTTTCTTTTTGAGCAGTCATACCTTTTCAACTATGTGTTCTGTTCGCCCTTATTAAATGACTATTGATTATCTGTGTGACCTTGGGCAAATTTCTTGAACGTCTTTGGGTCTCAGTTTTTAAAAAGTAATTGAGTCCAGACTAAATGATCCCTTCTAGCTCCAAAAAATAAAAAATAAATTGTGTGTCTTTGCCCTAAAGGATAGAGACCATGTGTTCTACATAATTCCATTTTCTTTTTGTCTCCTTGCAGCCTTTCAGAATATTTAGTGAACATGTATAAAATACTATGTACGAGGCCCTGTGCTAGGTACATGAATACAGAGACAAAAAACCCTGAAACAGTCCCTTCCCTTGTGGAGCTTACATTCTATTAGGGGGATATGATGTGCACACATGTCCATTTCAGGCGGGAAGGTTTAGGAAAGGCTTTCTTTGTAAAGAAGCTGGTACCTGATGTGAATCAAGAAGGAAGCTAAGGAAGATAAGAATCAGAAGGGAGGTGAGAAGCAGTTCCAGCCTTGGGGCCAGCTTATTTGAAAGCTAGGAGGTAGGAGCCATAAGGTCAAGTTCAGGACATAGAGAGTAGAGCTGTTTGCCTGGAAGCCACCTTATGCTAGGGCCCTTCCTGCCCTCTCCCAGCCTTTCTATTCAGAGGTACCTTGAGTCAGCTCCCAGATGTCTTTTTAATGTGAACACATTGTCTCCCCTTATTAAGGGTAAATTCACCAGTTTTGTCTTTGTATCCTCAGTGCTCTGGAAAGTGCCTAGCATGTTAATAAATTCTTTTTGATTGGTAAATTGGCCATAGTATGTGTGAAAGGATGAAAATAAGTCTGGAAAGGTAGGTCATGTCTGGATTCTAGGGGGCTTTAAATGCCTATTTGAAGAGGCTGTATTTTATCCCAGAGGCAAGAAGGAGCCACTGAAGATTTTTGAGCAAGGTAGTAACATTGTCAGACTTAGGAGATTAGTTTTTCAAATGTATGCATTGAAGAGAGGGAAAAACTGGAAGCCCCCTTTTTCCAGTAGGGGGCTATTGCAGTAGTCCAGGTGAAAGTGTGACTTGGATAGATGAGGAGGGGAGGAAGAAGGGGAAGGGAGGGGGAAAGAGAGAGAGAGGAAAAGAGAGGTAGAGGTGAGATTGAAAGATTTGCCCACTGGTTGGCTCTAGAAGGGGAAGGAGAGGAAATGGTTGAAGTTGACTCTGAGTTTGGGAACCTGGGTAATGATGCTGCCCAAATCAGGAAGTTTGTAAGAAGGTTGGTTTTAAGGGTAAATGATCATGAATTCTGTTTTGAAAATGTGAATCAGTCAGTCAGTAAGTAATTATTAAGAGCCTACTATGTGCCAGGCACTGTGCTAATTACTAAGGATCCAAAAAGAAGCAAAACAACAACAATAATTTCTGCTCTCTCTTTGGAGAGTGATGTGATTTTTTCCATTTGGGACGACCAGCAGACAGTTCGTGATACAGGGCTGGAATCAAGAATAGAGATGAAGGCAGGATATGTAGATTTTTGAAGTAATCTGCGTAGACATAACAACTGAAACCACAGGTTGACCAAACCACCAAGAGAGGATATGTAGAGAGAGGCCCAGGACAGAACCTTGGGAAACATCCATGCTTGAGGGGACTGGGGTGGAAGTGGTAAGGGGTGTACGATAGGGGGCGGGGGCTGTGGGGGCAAAAGATGGATGGTGATTCAGTAAAGGAGACTGAGAAGAGGAGAATCAGGAGAGAGCCATGTTCCAGAACAGAAGAGAAGAGAGCATATCCAGGAAGAAAGCGTTGTCAGCAGTGTCAAAAGCTGAAGAGAGGTCAAGAAGGGTGAGGATTGAGAAAGATCTGTTGGATTTGGCAATGAAGAGAATGTTGGTAACCTTGGAGAGAGCTCTTTCTTTCCATGAAATGGTGGAGTTAGATTCCAGTGTGCAAAAGAAGTGGGTGAAGAGGTAAGGAAGTGAAGATATCAGGTGTGGATGACTGTCTAGGAGCTTGGCCTGAAAAAAGAGAAGAGAGAGTTCTTGAAGGATGGCAAAGACCACATAAGTTTTGTTTGTATAGTGGGGAAAACTTGGGTATGTTTGTACTTGGCAGGGAAGTAACTAGCAGAAAAAGAAAGAAGACAGAGTACACATGGGGTGGTGGAGGGGGAGGGAAAAGAGAAGATAATCCAGTTATTATTGGTTCTAATTCCTGGACTAA